TAGGGGGTAGGTTGTGCAGTTCCACTTTTGCTCCGACTGGGCGCACCCGGGGGCTTAGGTGAAGGTGTACCGGCTGTCCGGTACATTCGTAGTGCCGCTGCCGTTTCGCCATAGGTCTGTACCGTTTTTCAGTGCCTGGTACACGATCTTTTACATTGATTTTCATTGATTTGCTGGCAGCAGTGTTTGGGAAAGTCTGAGGCTAGCCGTGTCAGGAACGATACACCAATTTCCGGCTCTGGCCTCTGTGTTTTTCACATACATTTTCTGTCTGCAGTGGTTTTGACGAGCGGCTGGTGCAAGGTTATCATTGGGTTTTTGCTTGCTCTTATGTTGCAATGCCCAGTTCGAGCGAGGATGTGGTTCTTGGTCATAGTAGTACTGGGTCTGGCGACGCGAGCTCAGGAGCTGAGCGCGACTGGCACAGGCTTGCCACCGCAGCGAACGTGGGTCTGTCCGACTCCGAAAGCTGTGCTGCGCCCATGGTCATTGATAGCGCAGGAGAAGCAACCATTGCTCCTGGAGCAGATATCGCAGAGGAAGTTCTACCAGCAACAGTGGACCCGTACATGGAGTCACCCGCGCTGGGTTCCAATGCAACCAGTGAAGCAGCCTACAGGTTGTCCGCCATGTCCGACGACGAACTGCTTGCATGGTTTGGCGAAGGCAGTTTGTGCCCCAATCACATCCTGGAAACGGGTTTGCGATGGATGTCGCTACAACAGCCTCTCTCCTTTGCGATGTCCTGTAATCTCAGGACGCTCCTGGAGCAATCTAGCCTGCTACACAACATGTATGTCTTCAGAAGCAAACTGCGAGATGAATACCTACTTGGATTTTGTAAGCAGCTTCTGGATCTACATAGACAGGCCCCCAGACGATGTCTCGGGCCATCGCAGATGGATGGAGAAAGCGGTAACGATGACCTGTTTTCTGGGGCGCCTTCAACGGACGCAACTGTTGAATACTTCCATGGAGTCTCATTACAAAGGGTGGCGCTCGCCCTTTCGCTTCTGGGTCTCCAAAGAGAAGAAATCTGCAAGATCGGAGAGCGTAGATACTTCGAGCTGTATCCACCCTGTTCGCAGGGATATAAGGAGGCCATGCACAGCCAACTTGCAGACGAAACACAAGGCCTTTATGGGTCATCCCTGCTGGCCTTTTACAAGCACTTTCTTGATGAGGCCTTTCATGGATTTGTTGAGGAGTTGGCGCAACTGGCCGAGGCCAGCTGCGAAGCCACCAAGGCAAAGCGGAGGGAAACCCCTGTGCGCCAGGCGCAGGACTTGGCTGATCTTCATACGGCTGAGCACTTGCTCTTACTGTTCATTGAATTTCAGTTCAACTATGTGCAGCGCACTGCCTTCGAGCAGCGTTTCGCGGCTAGACAGCTCGAAGAGGCCCTGGCCAGACAACCACATGATGCGTGGGGAGCAGCGGTCAATGAGTTCCTGTCGCATGACGAATCTGAAAGATGGGCGGTATACCTCATTGAGAGAGAGTGTGATCATTTCTGGACACCCATGCGTCCGTAGACATGATCACCACTGCTGGCTGGTTCCACCACGCTGCGAAGCTCTAGCTACAAGCCTGATCAAAGACCAGTTTTCTGATTTCTCATTGCTTGGTATTTTTACTTTGCATGAAAGTCATTGGTTGTGCACTCCACGGGGCCTTGGTGTTCGGCGCAGGCGCTGGACACTTCATACTTGCCTAGGAAAGCATGACATTGAGTGGTGGCCAAATAATGCATGTCTGCATAACAGACACCTTACTACCTGGAAGCCGCATCTTTGCAAGTGCATCCATTCCTTTTGCGGATCATGTCTCAGATGGATGCAGCCCAATGCTCATGTAGTGTGGCGCTGTGCTTGTGCTGCCACCAGGCCGGTCATTGTGAAGTGGCTCTTGGTAGCTAGGGACTACCTAACTTCTCTTGACGTCCTCCAGTGTACCTTGCAGCGAAACTACCCAACATGCACACCTGCTTCTGGTCATGTGAGGCATGACATATACTGGCATGTTGTGATTGTCTGGCATTTGCAAGTCATGAGTCAATTATGCGTCATGCATGTCAGTTGCAACGCGCGCTGTGTATGCACCGCATGTCATTACCTTGCTTTGGCCACGACCTCAGCTGCTGCGCATGCCCTATTTCCCCCACAAATTT